GTGCATGATGTGTCAGTCTAAGCATGTAAATACTGAATTGAAGAAACTGCAGTAAGTTTCCCCAAAGAGTGATAAAAAGGAAGAAAAGAGGGCAGGACAGGGTGGGAGGGAGGATGCAGAGGCTGATGGTAACAACTGAGAAGCCACATTCATTGAAGAATTAAGATTTAGTGCCCTCTGTTTTACACCAGTGTGGGTGAAAATCACTTTTAAGGGCCCTAATGAAAGTTGAAAGTTACCTTCAGAAAGTTATGCATATTTCAACAGAAATAAAAATCATTATGCATTCTCTCTAAAGAGGATACAATCTCAAACTGTCAAAATTCTAAACTCTTCTACATATATTACATACAAATGCCTTCTATAAAGAAACCTCTTTTCATTTTTCTTCTAAATTAGCTTAGTGGTCCATGGTATTACACTACCTTGGTCTAGCCTGTGAATAATGTGACAGGTAATTTTTATACTTCTTGCCTGTACTTAAGTTTGAGTGAAGATACGGAAAACAACTTTTATGATCTAGGTGTAAAAGTAAATGTTCTGTGAGTCCTGCATACCCAAACGTGGACATCTACTATGAAATGTTTCATGATGATTATGTGTCCATCAATAAATATTGAAAAAAATAAGAGCAAGTTAGTAAGTTGTTGGTTATTTTTTAATAATTTGCATGTGCAGCAGTATTTTTTCCCAAAGTAATAATACTAATGTTGATGTAAACTACTACATTATCACAGAGGGGATTTAAGATTCTGTTTTATCAGACAGGAATCATTCTGTAACAGGATGCACTGAGAAGGATGAATAATATGCAGATAACATGGGAAATCATCCAACTATAATTTAAAAAAATGGATTCCTCATGAAACTGTTGACTGCAATGACACAGAAATGGATGGTAACAGTCAATTAATTTCCATCATGAAAAAACTCAAAATAAACCTGTATCAGCTGAAGTTTGTAAGTGATGGAACTCAAAATGCTGAACAGTTCAATGATGTTTGAGTTACAATGCTGGAGGAAGTCAAATCCCTGAGTGAAACCATGGAAAACCCAGTTTGTATTTTCTCTACTACCCAAACATTAGGCAGCCACAGCAAGGCTCTTCTTCTCAGTCTGTGATTACTTGTGCTCCAGGACTTCAGCAGCTATGCTATAAACTGTGCAAGGAAGTAATAAAAATAAATTAACTTGTAACTAGGGGGTTGGACCTTTTCCCTTCAGGGAAGAAGCCCAGTACTACCCAAACACTGATCTTTTAAAAACTACTTTTCCCTGTCCGCTTTCATGAAAGAAAAAAGGCCATCAGAATGTTGGGTCTAGCAGAGCAAACTACACTTTAAGGTGCTCCATCAAGAGGAAAACCAAACATGGAAAATTACAAAGATGATGCTCATACAAAAAGAAAAACAATGCAAATCTTAAGGAACTAAGGGAGAGAACTATGAGACACAAGGTGAGCTCTAAGTGATAGGGCAGGCACACAATCCATGTACATCCATTCAGAAATGAGAACCATCATGAATCCAAACAGAAACTGAGTGCACATACCTGAGGTCATACCCCACCACATCCAGTGTTTTCAGTTATTCATAATTTACCATCAGACAACCAAGAGCAGAACTTCAGTCATGTAAATAAGATTATTTTGTTTACAAAGTTAAAATACCACAGGGGAGGAATTTATATCAAGACACCAAGCAGAGTTGTGATGAACAGACTCTTTTGTCTGTTACATGCATGTATTTTCTCATTATGGAGGACATGTGTGTGTTATACCTGTTACACCATTTTGGGTTTGAAAATACACTGTTATATAAACAGGACTAATATATATATAAACAGGAGCACAGAAACAATCCACACATGGGAAAAAAAAATCAGAATGTACTCACCTGTGCCATGTAGTTATTTCTGACATACTAATGCTCACACAGTGAAGTAATTTGACTGATATCCAGCTTTTACGCAGCACAGAGAGTGACTAAGACAAGTCTTTCATTTAACAGCTCTCAGTTTATGTTACTCTTCCTTGTTGCTATAAAGCTAACAGAATATGTTTCTAACACTATTCTCTGCTGAGGACTAATAGACTAATCATGGCATTCAGTGGCAGAGAAACTCTGATTTGAAATCAACACTTAGGTCTCCCTCTGGAGACTCTACATAGTCACTTGGATACACACTAATCATTCTCTTGAATAGCATAACTCATACTGAAAGCAAAATAATCAGCAGTATTAGGAAAATCTGATCAGCTTGTCTCCTAACATATTACTAATTAGAATGTGACCCTCATGTGATGGAAAACTCAGTACAGCAGAGGTAAGGAGGTGAGGAAGGCAACTGCAAGAGAATCCTTGGAAACTGGGGCAATATTATGATTCTTTCCACTTGAGAAATTCTTCTAAGTTTACTTACTTTGAAACTAAAATGCTGCATATTTTCTGCTGGTGAATAAATGAGCTGCATTTCACCCAGTGCACTTTTACAGCAGTGGCTGAATTCTCAGAATGCACTTTACTGGCTCACAGAGCCCACCATGGGCATTTGCCAGGCAGATTTAACCTCCCCGAGGCTGTGGTTCACTGTATTACGTAATTTCAAGCCAGACAGTTTTACTTACTCTTCTGGCCTGAGTGTTTCCTCTTACAACTTTTATTTCCTTGTATTTACTCCTCAGGTTCCTGTCAATGGAAGGTTTTTATAACCTGCTCTCTGCGGACTGGCATTGCTCCGACTGGGAAAGAAATGCATTTCTAAAGCTGACCTGGAGCTGCTGCTCTGGAGGAAGAATACAAGCACAGGTCTTGGGCTTTTTAACTCCAAACTAGTTTTTCCCAGCTGTGGAACAGCATCAGTTTTACCTGACACTGCACGCTGGCTGACAGGTGGGTAAAATAAACAAGTGATGTATATTCCAAAGGAAGAGTGATTCCTGAGTAAGTCACAGCAGTGAGAGAGAGAGAAGAGGAAACCAACCTGGCAAAATGATAACACTCCATTTCTGAACCTGCTTGCCCAAATCTTGTTTTGTATTGAAGCTGAGAAAGCTGAGGCGTAGTTTAAAAAGCTGGATGGAAACAAACAAGCAAAAATCCCTCCCTGCAAACCAAGAGATTTTTATCAGCCCCTAACCTGCTTAACAGAAATTCCTACAATGTTTATTAACATGGCTGTCAACACACAGTTATTTATCTGCCTTATGGTATCTGTCAATAAATAGAATCCATAATAAACAATGGCAATAAACAGTAAAGGATAAACAGATTGCTTGTTTGATAGAACATAAGAGAAACAATGAGCTTATCTTCTGGAGGACTGTTAACAACCTGTACAACAAATAACAAAGATATAGCAAATAATCAAAATTTAGTCATTCTGTGTGATTTCACTTTTAGGGAAAAATTCCATCCTCTTGCCAAGAGAAATTTACACATTGTGCCAAACAGATTTATTTCTCACATAAAACAGACCTCATGGGGTCAAGGTCTTCTACAGTCTGAGAAGTGCAGTACATCTACTTCAAGACTGCAGATTACACTTAGCAAGTTTATTTCTAGGAAATGAATTTTCAAGAAGGACAAAAGCTGAATTCTTAACAAAGAACCAAATATAGAGTGTCATGTTTAAGTAAATATAGAAATATTGTCATTTATGATTTTAATTACATTGATGAGTCATTCTGAGAGACAAAAATGCACATTTGCAAGGTTAACTGAACATGAAGAATAACTTTGGATTAAAGTAGACAATAGCCAAGGGAACCTTCAGTGTTCATATTGTAAATGTTGCTGGGAAATACTGATATACTGAATTTTGTAGATTCTTTCTTATGGTCTGTAGATTGTATATACACAGAACTTGAATGAAAACTATGTGGAATAGCTGCTAAGTGACAAAAAAAATTCCTCTGGACCACAAGCCTTCCATAAACATTGCACTCACACATCTTCTGCCTTCAGATTTTCCTTACAGCCTTTTACCTTGTGTTTAATCTGAAACAGAAAACTTTGCCTGATAGGTGCCATGATGTTTAGAAACAGAAGTCTCCTTATTGATATAATTTATTGACTTAATCTATTTTAATTTACACAACAACACGACAGCAATGCTCCCTATCTGGCACATCCCTGCTTTGTTTTGCATGTGTGAAAGAGAAGCAGGTTAGCAGGCACTGTCAGGAAATATTCCAGCTCAGCCCAGCCTCAGCCTTGCTCCTCAACTTGGAAAGATGTGCACATAGGAGATGAGCACAGTGAAGAAGAGAAAGAAATGAGGAGAATATGAAGTCAGTGGATCATTACATTTGCATGAAAACACACACCTCTTCTCCTGCCTATTGTGTCTTGAAATACCTAATGCCTTCCTGATCTTCAGCTCACCAAGTGAGGGTGAGTTTGAGATGTCCAGCTGCAAATAACCTACAGTAGTGAAGGTGGAGGAAGGACAAACCCTCCCAACAATTTATTTGTCTGCAATTCCAACCTGAACTCCAAACAGCATAAAATGCCTCTTCCTTCCACCTGCCTTGCAGAGGATGATGGACTGAAAAAAGCCGTGGTGTCTGGAAGATTCCAATCAAGCATACAAATCCTTACCACCAATGGTTATCCTAGAGAATCTTATTTTTCTCATGGTATGAAAATAGCTATAGAGTTCATTTTGGAGATTCTCACATCCTACTGTGCAGTAAAAAAATACACATCAATACCTGTTGCCTCTCTGTTGAAAACAGTCTCAAAAGTTGGCTTAGATAACATGTAGCCTATAAAACTATCAGCAATATCAACAATTTAACACAACATCCTTCAATGTGTACCTGTTTCTTTGAATACAATATCCCTACAAAAAAGTCACTTTGAAGATCTGTGGTAATCCTCTAAATACCTAAAAAAATGCACTTAGATAAAATTCCACTAGGATATATTATGTTTTCTGAGAAAACATAATTTTATCTTCCTGCTATTTTCAGTTTGTCCATTTTTAGTCATAACTACCTCTGATGCTTTGAAGTCCTCATAGGAAAACTGCGTGGCAGGTACTCCGAGGTGGTTGATGAAATAATCTGAATCTCCCTGTATCTGCACAGAACTCACATTGGATTCTGGACATCTAGCCTTTTCCACACAGTTCAGGCTCTGGATCTGAAAAAAACAAACACAAATCAAAATTCTACTTAATTATTTGCAGTCAGGCTCTTGGAAGAATTTCAGCAATATCTCATTTAAACAGCATTCTTTGGGTTGAAGCAACTTCAACATGGAAGAGAATGAAGTTTTGCTGCCACATGGCTGAGTCCTTCAGAGGACAAAGAAGTTCTTATCTGAGATGACAGGAGAGGCAGGAGAAGAATTGAGGCACATAGAATGCCTCATGCTGGCCAGAAGATTAGAAGGCATCATGGTGGTGCTTTTGGCATATTTTGAGATCTTTAATGGCTCCTAAGGAATCAGTTTTTTATTCAGTTAATAGCATGCTCTGTCCCAACAAAAAGCTGCATGGGATTGTCATATTCAATCTACGATATGTCTGTGAAATGCTGTGTAAAGAATTGTACAAATTGGCAATGTAAAGAATTTCCCACAAATGGGGCTTAAGAGAAAAACACAATTAAAAGGCTAAAGATACCCAATACACATTTTCTGTGTAAACAATGAACATTTTCTGTGTAGGTTTCTTAAAAAATTCTAGTCAGTGAAATCTTTTTATTTCTTTCACACAAGTATTTAATGGTGAGATCTTAGCAACAGAACTGTAATAAATATGGAAACTGGAAATCAAGCCCAGATTGAGTGCCACATACTTGTGTAGCTTTTAAATCTACCAGGTAATTAAAAATTAATAAACAGTAGGTGCAAAGGCTTTCAATATCTATTACAGCAAATACACTACTCAGGTTTTTGTTCAAGAATATTAGGAAGTTGAAGTACTGGAAATTATTTGCATTTAGCTAACAGTTTATATAGTATAACATAACTTTCTCACCTCTACCTACAAAATTACAGGCTTTCTAAAAGAATAGCCTAAGATTCGTTCTACTTTAACACAAAAATACAGCAAATTCTTTATATTAAAGTCTCCGAGGTTATCAGAAAAATGTTAGACAGAGATAAATCTCGGTATTTTCCCATTTCAAAATTAGCATAATTATTGCTTCACAGTTTCATTTCAGCGCTGTGAATAATGCAATTGCATATTACACAGTTTAAATAAAGGCTGCAGAGTCTCGCAGAAAATTATTTTAAAATACCTTCAAGAAATAGCTTCCATTTCATAAGTAATTTTGAAAGGCTTACTCCTGTATTACTCTTTTTTTTTCATCTTAAGTATTTCTGCCCCTGCCATTCTTACATACAGTCACAGTTATTCAAGGCCTGTCCAAAAAGTTCTAACAGAAAATGCAGAAACCCAAACAACAAATTCATTGGAAAAGGTGTTTTTAATAACCACAACTGTATCTCCTACAGTTTTTCCCACTCACACTCACTGCACAGCACACACCCAGGAAAAAAGGCCACTGTTATGATTTTATGCATATATCTGTGTACAAGATCCACTGCTCCTTCCAGGAATTGTAAGGCATTTAAGGATCACCCAGTGTTCTTCACTGCAGCACAGAGCAGACTCTCCTCACTTCACACTGCCCACCACAGCTGGTCAAGTTTCATAAATAATGAGTAGCCTGTTCTTCCTTTAATGTTTAAAGGCTCACTGAATGATGTGAAATTGTGAAATACAGCTTTTGACAGTTAATTCTGAATATCCACCAACCCCCATTTCAACCAGCCTACCAGGAGCTCAAGAGATGTCTTCCTACAGCAACCATGAAATTTAGTTTTTCTTATGCATGAAAGTTTATATATGAAATGTTTACAGCTTTGCTTAAGAGGACCATAAAATATGGTGGTTTGGGGGTTTTTATCACCATCCTTGACGGTATAGGATTAATATTTTTATGACAGCAATGTTCAATTCAATAGTACAGCATTTTAAAAGTTTAACTGCTTTATTCCACTTGCACTGTTCTCACACACAAGCCCAACAATAAATATTTAACCCAGCACCAATACAGGAGAATGCTTTACATGCAAGATGCTGTCCACTTCCAATCTGTTTTTATTGTAGTGCAGACTCTACAACACCAGCATTCTTCAACTTCTTGGTAACAACTGCCAAGTTCATATAGTGTGTTTTGCACTCATTAAACAAATAAAATGCTTCCCCAGACTAATAGACTTAGAGAATAATAATGCTCTGCTATTAATAAAACCAATAAAATTAATTTTAAAAAACTTTAAATACGTACCTAGAATAAACTATTAGCAACACACAACTAACTCCCATTTGTAGAGCAGCCAAACTGTATTTCTTCAGCTGGTTAGCCTTACAAGAAAAACACAGACTGGCTGTATTTAGAGCACTCAACTGCTCAGGCTGGACTGTGTCAGTCAAGCTCTCCCTTCAGATTGGAGGCAAACCAAGCCACTGGTGAACCAGGAATCAAGGAGTGCTTGGTGTCAGTGCAAGGATTCACATGCTATTTATAGCTGAATAATTTTATTTCTCTGGAGTTCATTTTGGTGTTAGCAGCATCTTACAGGTTTATGTTACAAATTTGAGAAAATGAAGAGTACCATATGGCCAATCAAATACATTTAATTTGAGTTAATGTTCTAAAATAGATCTGACACATCTCAAGTATAATCAAATGGGACTTCATTGCAGATCTTATTAGTTAGTTCTTGTTACTACTTTTCTTTATTTGACTCCAGTTTCACTTAGAACATTACCGCCTTTTGAAAATGCATCTCAAGTATAATCAAATGGGACTTCATTGCAGATCTTATTAGTTAGTTCTGGTTACTCTTTTCTTTATTTGACTCCGGTTTCACTTAGAACATTACCACCTTTTGAAAATTGATTAAAACATCTAAGAAGCTTTCAACAGGGCAAGTAAAGAATTAACAGTTATTCTTACAGTATGTCAGTGATCCCAGCTTCAGAACTATAACAAGGAAGCTTATTCTTCATGAATAATTGATCTCTATTTCTGAGCTGAATCACCACCTGTGCCAGGGACTGGTGCAATTAAGGACCTGAGGTATGAGAGACCATCTAGGAAGAGTAAAATTGTCTAAAGGAAGAGCTACAGAATTTATTTAATTCATCACAGGCCTTGTAAAAATGCAGAAATCAAGAGATTAACATATTTATTACTGTAAATATGTAAATCAACAACAGGTAGTAAAGGCCAGAGAAGCTGCACAGCAAAGGACTCACAGGTCTGTGTCTCTCATCTATAAACACCTGCCACACTCTAGCAAACAGATCATTAGAGGCAGAAGGCTTGATGGTTCTTAAAAAAATATTAATAGATGATGGTCAAAGGCTATTAAAAAAACCATGGAGTTCCTAGGAATTGTACCAATTCTATGGCAAGCATACTTCTCTGCTTTCTTCCAGCTGACTGTCAGGTTTGGCTATAAATATCCTGTTCTGCTCTGTCTTTACTGATTGATTACACATATTGCTATTAATGCAAATCAGCTCTTTAAGAAATTATTAGGGAGATTTAAGATGGCATTTTGCCCTATAGACCTCAAAGTGCTTTTCAAACCAACTAAAGGCAAGCAAGATATCTAATATTTCTGTCTTGCTCCATATCACAGAGTAAAACAACTACATAATAATTAAATGCACAGCATTTCCCCCATTTTGATCCTTATCAAACTGACATGATTCAAGTGCATGCATAAAAATAATTCTAAATTATATTCATTGATTCATTCTTTCTCTGTGTAGGAAAAGAAAATCTAAATGTGGTGGTGATAATATGCTATAGATAGAGAGTAGTTGTGGTTTAAATAGCCCGAATGTTACACACCACTGATGTGATGTATTTGCCTATTTATACAATGTGATCATTTGATTACCTGATTAAAGCTACACCATGAAATCTTATGAGGTAGAGTGACTAAACCTTGCTGCATTTAATTAATGTTATATTAAGATTGAAGAGATTAATTAAAAATTAATAAAATGTTGGTTCCTTACTTCCTTAGCAATTTTCCCTTCCCACTTACACATATTTTCATTTAAACATGCATGAAGTCTTAGTGAAAATATGAAGTCTTAGTGAAAATATCTAAAATCATAACATTATTTAATGAACTTAAGGGCAACATGAAGACTCTGGTGAAATTCTGTAGAGCTACAAAATCAGTCACAGAAAAGAGAAATTTAAATCTCAGAAATTGCCTCTGGTTTGGGCTCTTCAGGACTACCACAGTGAAGTGAGAGATGTTCCCTGCACACACACATATTCCACTGAGAGGAACTTGTCACCAGGGGAAAACAACTCCCTCACGAATCGTGTTTCTTGAAAGTCATCAGAGACAAGGAATTCAGCATCATCCAAATCCCTCTGATACTCATGGACACTGCAGGTGATTCTCAAACAAATCACTACAACCCCAGGGATCCCCATTAGACAATCTGAATTCCCCCACCACCAAAGTCCTCTGTGTTTTCAAACACAAAAGCATCACACCTGGAAATTCCAAGAGTAAACATTTTCCTAGGCTGTGCAGGGAGGTAGAACTGCATTTTCATGAGGAAAAAAAACCCCTGTCTTTTAGATAAACCTCATGGCTTTAAAATAATTGTTCTTTCAAAAGCCTGCAGGTATTCCATATGCCAGAGAAGGTCTTTTCCACCCAGAGGGGACAAGGAAACTGAAAATGGTGACAAACACAATACTGTCAAAAGGTCAGGTCAAACCAAGATTAGCCAGGATCCAGTTCTGATATTGTATTCAGATTTCTACTGAACCAAGGAAAAGTCAGTTTACCTAAGAAACACAACCTGCAGAAAATAAAACTCCAGTTGTACCTTTCAGAATTGTGAGAAGAAATTTTTGCATTTCAATGGTGACTTCCTAGAAAAATGGGAAATTACAATACCAGTGGTTATAAATAATGCATGGAGAAATATCTGTGCTTCGAACAAAAAATTTAAATATATTACTGCATGTTATACTACTTTGTAAAATGGAGTTATTTTTTATTTAGCTTACAGCTAGAAAAACATGAGACAAACTTAATCCTGTAATTCTTGTTCAAGGCTTTGGTTTCTGTTAAGAAGT